AGTGTACCATATGATTAGATAAGAAAAATTAATTAAATATAATCTTAAATATATATAAATATTTCAAAATATTTTAAAAAGGGTATTCTGACGTCGCTTGCATTCATTTGGTTTTCGACACAGATTTTTTTTCTCTCCCTTCCCTCCATCTACATCTCTCTAATTTTCTCTCTGTCGCGTGCCGCTGCTCCGAAAATATGACGTAGAAGCTTCGAGAATCATCGTCGAAAGCAGGTAGAAGTTTCGTTTCCCCTTTCGTTTCGGACTTGAGTAAACGAAGCCCATGCAATTTGTTTTTGTTTTTCGAAAATGTCGCCAGGAAAAGTCGGGGAAGGAATTATGGTACTGAAGGGATCCCACAACAGCATACCTATACACTCATACCAACATCCACACACTCTTAGTGTGCGCCGACACGACCATCCTGACCATTACACGACCCCGTGCAATTTTTTCAAAAATTCTTTGTTACCATTCAATCAACTTATCATTACAAATCACATCTTCATATTCCTGTGTTTTTTCCTAACTAATACAAATTCTTTTCTTTGACATAGCTCATTTTTACATTATCATTAATCATTACATTACAATCATTACATTAATTGTTTTGCACTTGTGCGTACATTATTATTAAAAATTTCATTATTAGCCCTTAATTAGTGTCTCTTGTAAAAGTTTCTCTTTACATGATTTCATTACTGTCTCCTTCAACAGTGTCATTTTCATTACTGCGTCTTTCAACAGTGTCTTTTTCAATCATTTCATTACTGACTCTTTCAACAGTGTCTTTTTCAATTATTTCATTACTCTCTCTTTCAACAGTTTCTGTTTCAATTTCATTATTTAAATCCTCTTTACAACTTGAAAATTCAACTGGTATTTGTCCATCTGGCATTTTTCTTATATCACTATGGGCATATTTATATTTTCTATTATTTGTCAAAGACCTGAGCATATATCTATCCCCCTCTAATAATTCAGTTACATATTTGAAAAGGCCCCCTAAACTATGGACTTAACTTTGTTTGATGCCTCTCTTAATTTTTTAACAATACTAAATCTCCATCCTTGCATCCAACAACTTTAGCCTTGTTTTTATGAAATTGCTCCTTGTTATATGCTGCTGCAGCTAAAATATTTTGAACTGCTCGTGCTCTCACTTCTGCCAAGTCGACCTCCATCATATCGCAGGGTGGAAGCAATCCCAACGGACGGGAAACTTTAACAATAAACAATTTTAAAGGGCGTGCCTTTGTCACTCGACTAACCGTACAATTCAAAGCTAATTGAACTTCTCCTAAGACATCTTGCCAAGATCGATTGGTAGTTTCAACGGCAGTTAATAAGTTCTTTAACGTGCTTATAATGCGTAATAATGCTAAAAATGCTCAATCGCAATCAAATGCAACTTAATTTTTTGTTGTGAACAAAACTCACTAAATCTTGTGCTGGCGAAACACCTGCCCTGATCCGCCAACGCCGGGAAATAGCCGTCGTGACAGCAGCCATTTTCAGCATCAATTTTAAGCGTGTGGGTTAAATAAACAAATTTAGTAATGGCATCCACCTGGACAATGATATACTCTTTTTGATCAGACTTGCCACTCAACTTCCCACTTATATCGATGTGAATGGTGTGCCAAGGTGTATTTACTTTTGATATTTGATGGAGACTTACTTGAACATTACCCGAAGAAGACTTTGACATTTTACACGTAATACAGTTCTCAACGAACTTCCGAATGTACTTGGACATATTATCAAACCAGTAATAGTCAAAGGCCTTATATAAGGTCTTCTCCCATCCCAAATGCATGATGGACTCATGGATCTGATTTATTACGGACCATCTAAATGACCGAGGAACAATTAAAAAAGATCGAGTTCTACCATTACGCTGAATTTTTCAATATACCATAATATTCCTGCTCTCAACTCGGAAGTCTTAGCAATGTCCTCAGCAAGAGAATTTTTTTCCAACTTATTTACAACATTAACAATTTCAGAATCTTTACGCTGTACGGCCAAAAGCCAATTGTCCGATATTTCTGCCAAATTAACTCGTTTTTCTGGAATTTTGCAAGACAACTCTGCTGAAGGTTTCTTAAATTTCTTGAAAAGATGCAGATTTCTTGAAAAGAAGTCAACATGAGACATTCGTTTACCTTCTTTATATTGTATGTCAAATGTAAAAGTCTGTAAATAAGCCCACCATTTTTGCACTCTGGGACATAGATCCCTCACATAACTCACATAGCTTTAAGTGAGTTACAATCAGGGAAGACAACAAAATCTGCCGACAAAAAAATCTTACAAATTCTACCCAATAAATAATGGCGAAAATGTTTTATAGACAAAACAACATCAAGAGTTTCTAATTCATAGGAATGATACCATGATTCAGCAGGAGAAGCAGCCTTACTAAAATATTCAATGACATGAGACTTGTTGATTTTGTGTAAGAGATGTTGTTTGAGAGAATCGTATTGCGATCGGCGGCGATATCGCCGAGATGTTTCACCAGGACAGAATACACACAGAAGATCAGGTATACAAACGCTTTGTATTTATAGACCCATACCAGAGAACGGCAACTTGCCACTCGCACAATGAGTGGCACGAAAAACACCGGGTATTTTAGGCACCCGAGTGTCTTTCATGCACGAAGTTTTGTGCATGAGTATTTACCATGCACGAAACTTCGGGTGTCTGGAAACACCCAGAAAAGGGTGCTTGCCTTTTTTTTACCCAGTAAGTTTCTTGTGGGTGGATCGCAGGCACAAACAAAAAACGGATGGGTGGATCGCAGGCACAAACAAAAAACGGATGGGTGGATCGCAGGCACACACAAAAAACGGATGGGTGGAAGAAAGGCACAAAAAAAGATCATAAAACGATCGTAGGAAAGGGTTTTGATGTTTTTACTTTTGTATGTTCTGGGTACCCGTGCACGAAGTCTAGACGCTTAGGTAGTTAGAAAAGGACAGAAAGGAAAGAAAAGGACAAAATCTTCAACGATCATTTTTTTTACCATTTTTCTCTTTCCACTTTTTTTTAGGGTGGCTGGTATGATCCGAACAACAAGACACATAGGCACAAAATCATGAGTGCAAGAAAGGCAATAGGCACAAAATCATGAGTGCAAGAAAGGCAATAGGCACAAAATCATGAGTGCAAGAAAGGCAATAGACACTTTGTACTCATCCAAAAATTGTGTGTGTCGGTATTGCCTTTTTTGTTTTGTGTGGCGAGTGGTACTCGCACACAAATTTTTATGGGTATGCATAGGGTGTCGAAAAGTGTCACCCGTGCCGTTCTCTGACCCATACACACAACGGAGAGAGAACTACGCCATGCAAGTAATGACGTTTGGGAGCACCCACGTTAGTGAGTCTAGACAAAGTAACGTATGGACAGACCGAGAAGGTGCTGGGATTGTAATGGGACACGAAAGAAAATGTCATCCGCTACCGTTTATCCCCGTGATATCGCCATAAAGAACTTCTTCAAGGAAGGCAATGACCTACCAAACTAGAGTTTCTCAGTGTGTTGATGTCTATATATGATCCTTTAGGGCTAATATCCTTCTACGTAATGTATGCAAAAATAATATTTCAGGAAATATGGCGATGTGGATGTACCTGGTATGACCCCATACTTGAGGCAGAATGGATTAAATGGAAACGATGGCTTCGGTATATCCCGGACATTGAGAAAATGACCACCCCAATATGCCACACGAAGGAGTCACTGATGGATTCAGAAGTGGAGATGCACACCTTCGAGAACGCGAGCAAGAATGGATTTGCCGCCGTGAGTTTTATAAGATTTCAAAACGATGTAGGTAATCACTGCAGTCTACTGGGCAGCAAAACCCATACCGACATCCATACCAAGGCTTAAGCTCATGGGAGCAGTGCTTGGAGCGAGGTTAGCTCAAACTCTGAAGCACATGGCGCGAAGCTGAGCACACGGACATTCTGGACTGACTCGAGGACCGTCTTGAGTTGGCTGCGATCGGACCAGAGGAAGTACCAACAGTTTGTAGCACCCCGTGGGAACGAGATTTAGTAGTAGACGGTACTAGCGTCAAGAACTGGCGCTGGTTACCTTCCTCCGAGAACGTGGCGGATGACGCCACTAAGTGGAACAAAGGACCTGATTTCAACCGAGAAAGTCATTGGTTGAACGGCCCGACATTTCTTTGGCAAGAGAGGCAACTCCACCCTTGCTCGGATACGACGCTCCTGCCAACAATGCAAGAACCGACAGCGGCCTTCAAGCCGCCGCGCATGGTGGGACTTCTCTATCCAAGAGTAGCAGCTTTCATAGACCCTTCAGCTACACGGGTGTGGACTACTTTCGACCTCTAACGGTGCGGGTCAGAAGGACTTCAGAGAAACTATATGGCGTGCTTTTCACCGGCCTCTCTACAAGAGTAATACATCTTGAGGTAGCGTATTTATTAATCACTGACTCTTGTATTCTAGCAGTACGCAGCTTTATGGCCCGACGAGGGTGCCCAGTGGAACTCTGGAGCGACAACAGCACCAATTTTCAAGAAGCCTAAACGGAGTTGCATAGGGCGTTCGAAGATGTGGACAAGGATTTACTCTCTCGCAAGTTTTCTGGACCCCGGGTGACATGGAAGTTCATTCCAGCCGCATCTTCCCACATGGGTGGCGCATAGTGGGGCCGTGAAGATGGCGTTGGAATCATGATGACCACGACTTTTTGAAAAAAAATATTCAAAGCTCTTAAATAATTAAAAACAAAACTTAAATAACTATAACAAATTCAATAAAATGTTTTTAGACTTTCTCTTAAATCCAAGATTAAAACACAATATGCTCTACCCATTATAATAAGACCTAATAGAAACATTTTTTTCTTTGATTTATCAAAACTTTATGTTCAAATTCAACAGACAGATATAGATGTATATATAAATATAATTACAGATATACACAAAACAATTATTTAAAAAAGAAACTAGAAGGGGGTTACTCAGTTGTACCTGTTGTTCCACCCACACTAACCCATAGAAAATTGTCACAAATTTTTACTTATGTAATAGTTTCGTAATTTATTTGAATTCTATAACGCGTTTAATGTCTTAAATTGTTAATGCTGACCAAGAGGGTTCCAAATTTTCCTAAATCATCAATTGTTTAAAATTCTTTTTGGCAGCTTAGAGCGACAAATGAGGCCACTTAATTTAACTCTGGTTCTACGCAGTTTACAGGAAGCTGGTGGTTTTCTTTTTTTGACTATTATTGTAACGGTCAATACGCATATATAACTGAACAGACCCACATGGACGTAGACCTTAAAAAATTATTATGTTTTGAAGCTGAGACAAAGTGGTCCCCAAGTGGATGCTTTCGGGCAAGTTTTTGATCTGAAGCAACCACCGTTGGCACTCGGCACACTTTCGCTGACGATCCTCACGCGTCACATCGACACCAAGGCCATTTGCAGTCCAGGTATCGAGGTTTTCTTGGATGGTTGGCAAAAAATTTGAGAGAATTATACGTAGTGCATCGCAGGCTCTTGTGAAGTGACTAGAATTAATAGATGAGTTAGTTTACTAAGTTTGCAATATTATGGTATTCTTACAACTTATGTTGGCTTTGTAAAAGGTCATATATCTCTGGCAAAACAAACATGCAGAAATCTAAATTCCACGAGGATCTAAAAGAAATTTTGTGTAGTGGATTAGATGTATTAGACTTATGCCATTGTTACTTTGCACATTGTCTTACGGTTTTTCTAGTATGGCTCCAAGCAGATCTATAAAAATAGATTTTCCGGTATTCTTGGCTTGCCTCAAGGCGCCCAAAACATCGTGTGACCTAAAAATAGTTCCAAAATAACTTTTTAAATATATGTATATTTTTAATCTGGGTACAAGAAAGGAAAAACAAGAAAGGAAAGCTAACTTCGGGCGGAGCTGAAGTTGATATACCCTTGCAGTTAAAACCGGATATATATCGTAAACTTATCCTTATGAGAATATCATAATAAAATCAATTAACTACAATAAAATATCTAAAAAAAACAAGAAAGGAAAGCTAACTTCGGGCGGAGCCGAAGTTTATATACCCTTGCAGTTAAAACCGGATATATATCGCAAACATCGGATATAGTTGGCCGATCCTTATGATTACATCATAATAAAACTAATTAACTAAAATATAAAAACTAAAAAAAGGTCCCAAACTTCTATCTTCAAAAATATGAAAGTTGATATTTCTACCAAGTACCATTTCCGATCGTTCAGTTATATGGCAGCTATAGGATATAGTCGGCCGATCCTAATGAAATTTGGTAGGTTGGATCAACTGACCAAAAATAGAATCTGTATTAAGTTTCAGCTTTCTATCTTCAAAAACACGAAAGTTGGGTCATTTCCGATCGTTCAGTTATATGGCAGCTATAAGATATAGTCGGCCGATCCTTATGAAATTTGGCATGTCGTAATGTTTTGCCAAAAATAGCGCTCGTGTCAAATTTGAACTCTCTAACTCTAAAAACACCAAAGTTATACCATTTCCGATCAATCAGTTATATGGCAGCTATAGGATATAGTCGGCCGATCCCGGCCGTTCCGACTTATATACTGCGTGCAAAGGAAAGAAGGGTGTGTGCAAAGTTTCAAGACGATAGCTTCAAAACTGAGAGACTAGTTCGCGTAGAAACGGACAGACAGACGGACAGACGGACATGCTCATATCAACTCAGGAGGTGATCCTGATCAAGAATATATATACTTTATAGGGTCGGAGATGTATCCTTCACTGCGTTGCACACTTTTGGACAAAATTATAATACTCTCTGCAAGGGTATAAAAAGTCCCAAGCTTCTATCTTCAAAAATTCAAAAGTTGGTACTTCTACCAAATACCATTTCCGATCGTTCAGTTATATGGCAACTATAAGTTATAGTCGGCCGGTCCTTATAAAATTTGGTAGGTTGGATCAACTGACCAAAAATTTAATCTGTACTAAGTTCCAGCTTTCTATCTTCAAAAACACAAAAGTTGGGTCATTTCCGATCGTTCAGTTATATGGCAGCTATTGGATATAGTCGGCCGATCCTTACGAAATTTGGCATGTCGTATTATTTTGCCAAAAGTAGCACTCATGTAAAATTTGAAACTTCTAAATTGAAATTCTAACTCTAAAACCACCAAAGTTACACCATTTCCGATCAATCAGTTATATGGCAGCTATAGGATATAGTCGGCCGATCCCGGCCGTTCCGACTTACTGCGCGCAAAGGATAGAAGGATGTGTGCAAAGTTTCAAGACGATAGCTTTGAAACTGAGAAACTAGTTTGCGTAGAAACAGACACAAATTTTACATGAGCGCTATTTTTGGCAAAATAATACGACGTGCCAAATTTCGTAAGGATCGGCCGACTATATCCTATAGCTGTCATATAACTGAACGATCGGAAATGACCCAACTTTCGTGTTTTTTGAAGATAGAAAGCTGGAACTTGGTACAGATTATATTGTTGGTCAGTTGATCCGACCTACCAAATTTCATAACGATCGGTCGACTATATCTTATAGCTGCCATATAACTGAACGATCGGAAATGGTTTTTGGTAGAAATACCAATTTTGGCATGTTGAAGATAGAAGTTTGGGAATTTTTTTAGATTTTGTATTGTAATAAATTGGATTATATTTTCATATTCCCATAAGGATCGGACAACTATATCCGATCTTTGCGATATATATCCGGTTTTAACTGCAAGGGTATATAAACTTCGGCTCCGCCCGAAGTTAGCTTTCCTTTCTTGTTTACTCTTATTTTGGTATATTTTATAAACCATGTTAGCAGTATTATAAGGATAAATTACACAGTGCAACAGTGATTTTGAATTTTTGAAGAGACCTAGTAGAAATTGTTTATTAGGTCGAATATAGTACAAAACCGTGTTTGAAATATTTCTAACACCCTCAAAATCTTGATTTATTTAGAAAAAACGTTTTTTCAAGACATTTTTGCTATTAAAAATTTTTAAACACATAACTTTTATAATTTTTAAAAAAGGATAATAGTTTTACACAAGAAACTGACATTTTTGATTTTTTGTCGAGTTTTTCGGACTTTGACGCCATTTTTTCGGTACAACTTACAAGAAATGGTATCATTTTTGGCACACACCTATATTTTCTCAATTATCAATACTAATCTCAAGAAGACTTAATCAAGAATAAAACATGACCAATTTCATTACAAAACAAGAAAGGAAAGCTAACTTCGGGCGGAGCCGAAGTTGATATACCCTTGCAGTTAAAACCGGATATATATCGCAAACATCGGATATAGTTGGCCGATCCTTATGATTACATCATAATAAAACCAAATAATTACAATAAAAAATCTAAAAAAAAAAGTCCCAAGGTTCTATACTATTTCCGATCGTTCAGTTATATGGCAGCTATAGGATATAGTCCGCCGATCCGCCGAATTTGGCATGTCATAATGTATTGCCAAAAATAGCTCTCGTGTCGTGTCAAATAACTCTCTAACTTTATAAACACCAAATTTATACCATTTCCGATCAATCAGTTATATGGCAGCTAAAGGATATAGTCGGCCGATCCCGGCAATTCCGACTTATATACTGCGTGCAAAATAAAAAAGGGCGTGTGCAAAGTTTCAAGACGACAGCTTTAAAACTGAGAGACTAGTTGGCGTAGAAACAGACAGACAGACGGACAGACGGGCATGCTCATATCAACTCAGGAGGTGACCCTGATCAAGAATATATATACTTTATAGGGTCGGAGATGTCTCCTTCCCTGCGTTGCACACTTTTGGACAAAATTATAATACCCTCTGCAAGGGTATAATTATGAAAATTGATGAAGTTATAACGCTTTTCCCAAAACAAGTCAGTGCAATTTTACTAGCGCTTGGGAGTAACAGTGAGTAAAAAGAATAATCGCAATGGAAGGGCACATTGCTCCGGAACGCTAGCAAGATTGCACTGACATTACCTTAAGATAAGTTTAGCAGCTTATAACGTGGTTCGATAGGTTAAATATTTGCGTTTTTCAAAAGTGTTTTTAGTGGGCTAAAACGATTTGTGTATTTGTGAAAAAAGGTTACCTGAAAAGGTAAAAGTTAAATTGAAGTACAATTTTAAAATGGAGTAACACAAAAATAGTTTCACCTTATTATTTTTACTGTTTTAAATGAATATTTTCTCTTTTAATTAGAAGCTAGAAGTATTAGCTAAAAGTCTGGGAAAGGCAAAAAATATCCGAAATCTACTAAGACAGAACATTTCAAAGCCTGTGAAAGTATCGACCGATGAAGCTGTAGCTCTTCTTTTGGATGAGAGCTTAGCAAAAAAACAGTATTTTTCAATAAGGGAGCTAGCTGAACATAAAATTTTTCCCTTATACAAAGAAGTGGCTAATAAACCAGAACGGAAAGATAACTTCGGGCGCAGCCGAAGTTGATATACCCTTGCTGTTAAAACCGGATATATTTAGAAAACATCGGATATAGTTGTCCGATCCTTATGAGAATATCATAATATAACCAATTTATAAAAAATAAAGCTCAAAAAAAGTATCAAGCTTCTATCTTCAAAAATACAAAAGTTGGTATTTTTACCAAAAACCATTTCCGATCGATCAGTTATATGGCAGCTATAGGATATAGTCGGTCGATCCCTATAAAATTTAGTAGGTTGGGTTAACTGACCAAAAATTTAATCTGTTCTAAGTTTCAGCTTTCTTTCTTCAAAATCACGAAAGTTGGGTCATTTCAGATCGTTCAGTTATATGGCAGCTATAGGATATAGTCGGCCGATCCTTATGTAATTTGGCATGTCGTAATGTTTTGCCAAAAATATAATTTTGGACAAAATTATAATTTTGGTCAAAAGTGTGCTATAGCTGCCATATAACTGAACGATCGGAAATGGTTTTTGGTAGAAATACCAACTTTCGTATTTTTGAAGATAGAAGCTTGATACTTTGTTTGAGCTTTATTTTTTATAAATTGGTTATATTATGATTTTCTCATAAGTTTTGGCCAACTATATCCGATTTTTGCGATATATATCCGGTTTTAACTGCAAGGGTATATCAACTTCGGCTCCGCCCAAAGGATTCTTTCCTTTCTTGTTTTCTTAAAAGCACCACCAAAGCTTTTTGAGTGCTTTTAAAAGTCACTGCCCTTGATCAGCAGATTTCCGAATAGCAATTTGCTCCAAAATATTTAGTACCTTTATTTTTTTCACACGCGTTATATTAGTCAACAAAATTCAACTAAATTATGGAAAGTAATCTTCAAGGTACGCACTATTTAATATATTTAAATTGTTATTTTTAGTGTAGTTGTAGGGATTTAGCATTGTTTAAGGTCCAATTTATGCGTATTTTTTTAGAAATCTAACATGCGTTCTCCGTGTTTCGTGGAATAGAACTAATAAGCTATTCCATGCTGAAAACAACTAATTGGTCTAGAAAGTACTTGTGAGTGTTTTCTTTAATCAAACACCAAATTGATCACCGTTCGTCCACCTTTTTTCTCGTTTAAAATTAGCCACAGCTAACTTTTTCAAATATGGCGTATAAAAATCGAAAAATTGTGTATCGGAGTATATACCAGTATAACCAAGATAACCAAGATATCTTGGATAACCAAGATAACAGAGGAAATAGACAAAAAATAAGTCATTTTTATAGTTACATTCATGAAATTTCTGACTTTTTGTGAGAAAACGTTTTGTTTATATATGCAGAAATACCCGTGGTACTCAATGCCACCAACGATTCACGAATTACTAGTCCACAGTTATCAGATAAATAAGTCGACATTAATTCGATTAGGATGCTTAGGCGAAAATGCATCAGATGCACCTAACAATATCTACAAGAGAGACAGACTCTCACAAGCAAAAAAAAATAGTCGAATCAATATTATGGCTGATCTTTTCCACAGGGCGCTAGATTCTTCGGATCCTTTATTATCTGGTTTTAACCAGGATTATCGTAACAAGCGGACTATGTCATGATGGACGAAACCCTTCCCGCCTACTCGTGGGTCCAAATATGAATTCTACTTTACAAAAAAAAACTAAAACGGAGAACTGAACTCCCTAAAAAAAGTCCAGAAATGGGGTCAGTGACCCTTCAAACTCCAAGGCCTTTAAAAGCCAAGGAGTTGCTGAGATGGAGAAGCTCCTCACAGAGAGGCAACATCTGGAGGCGGCTCGCGCCGGTGCGGAGGTAGATGCCAAGGCATCTTCTTCCAAAGCGAGGCTAGCCATGGGGCCACCGAACGGCGTGGAGGGTCAACTTCTAAACCAACCAGCGGGGCCCGTACGATGAACCGGGGTCCGGGAGCATCTCACTCGACGCTGCGGAAAGGCTCCTATAAAGATAGGAAGAGAGCAGCCTTTATCCTGATGAGGGCGGACCCATCGGCGGAAGCTAACCCGGACGAGATTACAAAGTGAGCAAGGGAGATACTGCCCGACTTCCAACCGGAAAAGGCGGGTGTGAGATTAGAGCCGAAGAAACTCGCTGGGTCAGATCCTGCCAAGGAGATCGCGCAGAGTGCGAAAAGGCAGATTTCAACGGAGGGAGAGCCCCCCAAGCCAACAAGCGGAAAGTCCAGCCGCTGCCGTCCAACCGCTCGTTCGCTGAAGTTACGAAGGTAAGAACCCTCATTGAAGTTCTGGACAAGGGATCCAAAGATGGGCTCATCCCAAAGGACCTTTGGCGACAAGTGGTTAACCCTAAAACCCGACCCTAAAACTATCCTGACGATGCTTAGGATTTGCAATTCGTCACTTCCCACGGCGGACTAGAGAGACGCCAAGGTCAAGGAGGCGGTAGACCTCCGGTGAAAGTCCTGGAAAAGTCAGAGCACCGGATCATATACGGATTCGAGCACGTGACGGTCCGTATCTACCTAAATTCAGCAATGAAGACCACGTAGCCGCAGCAATAGAGAGCCCAAAGGGTCCTCTAAGGGTATATGATCCACGACCAGGATGACCTCCCCCCGCACCCGCTACTCAAACAGCTGGTGGAAGACAGCGGGACGCAAAAGATCGAACTAATCATAGGTTGCGATGCCAACGCCAATCATCATCAGTGGGGAAGCACTGAAACGAACGAGAGAGGTGAATCAATCAAACCCCAATCTTCTGGTGGGTAATAGGGGTACAGAACCCATCTCCATGGTCAAAAAAACCCTACAACAGGGTAAAGAAGAAATACTTGACATTACTCGCAAAGCCTTTAATCTCGCCAGTAAGGCAAACACAGAGACAGCTTGGGAGGCGTACAAAGCGGACCTCAGGCAGTAGAACAAAGAACTGGGAAACAGCCTGTCCCTCCCAAACCAACTCGAATGCCTATTGAGTAATAGGTATCTCAGCTGAGCGATAAAACGCTTCAAGCCCTTCAAATCCCCAGGCCCAGATGGAATTTTCCCGGCACAATTAATCAAAGCCGGACCCAATCTAAGGTCATGGGTCAAGGAATCTTTCTCAGCAATTTTCAGAATAGGCATCGTGACCGCAACGTGGTTGCGGACGAAGTTCGTATTCATACGCAAAGCGGGAAAACCATCACACTGCACCCTTAAGGACTTCAGACCTATAAGCCTGTCGTCCTTTCTCCTCAAGACAATGGAGAGACTAATCAGCCTCCGCATTAATCTTACCATTAATCCAGATGATGTCTCGGGATCACAGCACGCGTATAGGAAAACCCGATCCACGGAGACGGCACTCCACGGGATCACTACGTTCGTCGAACCGGCACTCTTCTAGACATCGAGAAGCACGGTGCGTTTAACAACATCCTGCCATGTTCGATGAACAATGCGCTGACGAGTCTAGGAATAGACGATCAATCCGTGCGCCTTATAAAGCAGTTCTTGGTAAACAGGACTGCAAGGCAACAAACGCGCTTTATACAAGCCCCAAGGCAATTGGACCCAGTTGAAGAATATCTCCAAAGATAGTCAGATGGCTTTTCACAGCGTTCATTAGACCCATCCTATTCTACGGGGTGGTGGTCTGGTGGCCTGCTCTCGCAAACTCTACATGTAGAGAGAGATTTAGGAAAACGCAAAGGATGGCGGAGGTCTGCATTACAGGCAGCCTACCACACCAACAGTAGCCCTAGACTTCATATTACCTGTAGATATAGTGAGAGCCAAAATAGCCACGCTATCGGCAATTAGGATTCGCAAGACGGGTCTATGGAAAAGGACCGACTATGGACATACCAAGTCGGACCTACACCACTTCACCAAAGGGCCACAGACTACTGTGTACCTGTTGATCATCCCACTTTATAAGGTATATATATAAGGTATCTTATATATCAAATATAAGGTATCCATTCCAACGAGGGAGGTATGGGCCACACTAATCCCGGGACCAGCCGGTTCCCTTCATATTTACACAGACGTTGAACACAGACGTTCAAAGTTGAATGGCCAGGTGGGAGGCGGTTTACGGATTACGGTTACGAGATTACTTGGGAAACTGTACCGCTGACGAACTAGCAAGGGAAGGTACTAGTAGGCATTCCCTTAGCTACGTGTAGGCTAAAATGCAGGGATCACTTTGACCGCGTAGCACTGAGAAAATGGAGAAATCTCCAAAACTTCAGGAACTCACGCATGATACGGCCTATCCGACCTAGGAAAAAATCAATGATGCTTATCACCATCAATATGCAGGACTGCAGTCTGGCGGTCAAGGCCATCACCGGACCCTGGTTAATAGGGACTACTACACGAGCTGTGGGGATGTAGAAAAGGAAGAGATAGTCGCATACCTCCTGTGTTATTGCCCTGCGCTGGGGCGCAGCCGACTCAGATTATTGGGTGCAGCAGTACTCACGAACCTCAAGGATCTCCTCAAGGAGATCGCTCCATGCAGACTCGTTGCCTTCATCCGGAAAGCTGGATAGGAGGGGGGAGTGATACCGCACTAGCCCCAGCGGCTTAAGTGGATGGGGGTGTCAGTGAATTTTGACAGTATATTTAAAATACCTTTATCTACGACACACGTAGGATTATTTTTTTGCTTACTTTTTTTTATTAACAATTTGTGACGTATTTTTTTCGTGAAAATTTTAACTTTTTTCAATCACTCAAAATGTTGCAAAAATCAATATATCGCAAAAATCCTACGTGTGTCGATAGCTGTTGATGTATAGAAACTAACGAAACTTGATTCTTTTTTCAAAACTTAAGGACGTTAGCTGTCCGGCCATGGACCCCTTTCAAAAAAAAGGCCTACGAAGAATTGCTGCACAGCCGCCATTTTTTTTTTTTTCGATTTATTCGAAAAAAAATTTTTTTGGTACTTCGCATATCATATAATAAAAACTAATTTACAAATGTTCGATAAGCTTTTTCATTTGGCAACAAAAAATTCCAGAAAATCCACTTTATTTTCCTCAGTTACTCAGATGTCCGGGGGACATTATTCATACATTCCCGAAAAAAAACTTTAAAAACATATTTATGTACTTTATAATCTTTGGTTTCACTTACAAGAGGTAAAGATTGTCTTCTACGTGTGTGGGCTGTGTCGTCCTTACCCCATACCATAGGAATGAAATGGAAGTGAAGCTCATCAAGTTATTGCAGATTAGTATGGCTTTATACTTAAGCTGCCGTATAACTAAAGAATCGGAAATGACCCACTTTTCGTGTTTTTGAAGAAAGAAGCTTCGGACTTTTTTCAAAATTTTTTTAATAAAAAATTAATTGTATAATGAAATTCTCATTATGATCGGCCAATTGTAGCCAAATTAAAGAAAGACTGGAAAGACAAAAAAGACAGGGTGTAGGAGAAAGGGAAGAGTACTGGGTATCATATGGACGAGTGAACGTGGCAAAATTAAGAAACACAAACTTGATCTTCGCGGATACCATACAAGTCCAAGTTCCAAATGGTAAGTGAGAAGTAAGGGAGAAGAACGAAGCGATAACAAAAAATACGTCGAATGTTTACTCCTATTGCCTTTCTCGCATAGCTGGGCTTCTGACATTCACTCAGACAGGCCCCTTAAAATTATTTTTTGTCCGCTTAGCAGACTTTAGCTCGTTTAGATATGAGCCGTGTACGAAACATACCGTGTAGCGCTTCGTAGCCTATCCAGACTGGTCTGGCGATTACTCAGTTCCTGAAGTACAGCCTCGTGGGATCTCGCAAGCACATCAAAGTCATAATGATCATGGCTTGATGCCGCCTAGGAATCGAAAAAATATTAATTATTTAAGGAATTGTAAGAGTAAAACCGAAAAATGATACGTACACTATTATGCTTTTCCAGACTTTTGTTTGGACGTGCCGCGCGCATGTCCAAAGAGGTGCGAGAGCGAATCGGAGGTTTTGTTATAATTTCCACGCTTATGTTTTTTTGATGACTGTTTTCCTTATACAATTGGGAGCCCATGGGACGCTTATTTCTATTGACTACGCTTGAAGAAGAAGACTTTTTCAAGACCATGTTGTCGTCTAGTTTATGCAACTCCATTGAGCTAACCGACGATACTTGACTAAGCTTGTTGCCTCCAAAAATACCTGTAGTCGTCTGCTTGTTGCTGACCATGCTGTTTGTAGTTCTTTTGTGCGAATTGTTTGTGGTTTTCTTAATAGACTTTGACGACGCATTTATAGTCGAGGTGGTAGGCCCGGGCTTGTAGTTAATGGTCATGCCGTTTAGATTTTGGTTGACCGGAAAGTCTTCGACTATATCATAATTATCATAGTTTATTAGTATTGGAGGGTTGCTCTCGTTCAAGTTGATCTCTAGATGCTGCTCTTCCGTCTCGGTCGCGACTTTTTTGCCAAGGGAGTATATGCTGTAGTTATCAGGTATGTGCAGGGAGCTTGGCCCAGTCATTCTTATAAAGCGAGTGGATCCACCAACTTCTGTACTGTAGCTGTCGTTGTGTGGCAGGCTCTCTGAAAAATGGGCTGGTTTTCCTCGCGTTAATGATGAGTCTATGCCGCCGCAGAACGCATGTGGATGTGCAAGGTCCGCTGACATGCCCACAGACAGAGGAAGATGAACAGAAGGAAGCGAAGACATCGGTGACGTCTCTCCAGACTCTAGCACAGTCTCACTTACCACCTCAAGACTTAAGTTAGACGACAAAAACCGGTTGAAGCCTTGCCCTTCGGTGTCCTCATGCTCTTCCTGATCCTCATCGGTCTTGAACTCTCCTAGAGCCAGACGAAACTTTTGGTTTCCACGTGAAAAACTCTTTCTGTTAGTCGAGTTATGCTTAAATGTGGAAATCGCCTTTACCGATTGATAAAACGGATTTAAACGATCTAAGCTGATGGTGTTAACTGAAACTGTGTCTTCCTCGTGACATCCGGTAATCTTTAACGGCAATAAAGAAAGATTTAAAAGAGTTAAAGAAACCAAAACACAAAAGCTAACGTCGGGTGTACCCGAAGCTTATACAATCTTGCAATTTTAGATATAGTTAACTGATTCTTATGAGAATATCTTTCCATAATTATAAAACCCTTAGCAATGATATAAAAATAATAAAAGGTTCTGCAGATTTAATTTTGAGTATTTGAATATTTTAATTGAATTTTTATATTTTAAAGTAGAGCTGGCCAATCAGAGAGCACGCACCTAAAATATGTGTATTGGTGTGTTTTACACTGATATAATAGCAGTCCGAATGTTGTCTGTCATTATTATACCCAGTAGTCGTAAAGTACAATTGAATATTGTATGTACCATAAAGTATATATTCTTTGTTTATTTCAAATTTCGCCACGCCCCCTCCCGCAAATACAAATTGCATATTTCTGCAGCACTAGTACAAAAATTTATTTAAAGAAAACTTTTAAAATACAGTTTAATCTATATATTAGGGTGTCCCAAAAAGTCATACATTTTTTTTTAACGCATACCCTTAATTTGTTTGAATGAAAACGCAATTTGGAGTGGGTCGGATAACGATAACCCGCGCCGACTTGCAATTTCACTTGTCAATACTTGATTGATTGGCGAAAAGATTGGCCCACTTATATCGAGAGCGCGCAACCCAAGAAAACAAAAATATCAGGGCGGAAAGACTTTATCACTCCAAAATTAGTAGCCTACTTAAAGCCTTCTTAAACCTACTATTGAGGCACTTGGATACAATACTGATGAGATTTCAATAAGTCCTCAATTCAATGAATTCGCACCGTAAAGCGCGTAAAGAGCGCGCGGAATCCATTTAAAATAATTTTCAAAACGAGATGCCAGAGTTTGTAACCTCGATATCAAGTCGGCACGAGTTGCCCAGATTAAATCGCCATAATATTTATTTTCTATGTTCATAAGGTCATTTGGAAAGAAAATAGAGCGCATGCGATTCTAATAAAAAAAAAAATCCCACCTGTTACCTTGGGACACCCTACTAAATATATAAAACTCCTGTTATGTTACACCCACTTATAAATCAAGAACGGCACAACAGATTTGAGTGAAAATTGGTAGGGAGGTAGCTTAGAGCCAGGAGACGAACATATGATACTTTTTATCCCGTTCGACCGCGGGAATTATACTCCTCATAAATGGCTACACTTATAGTAATGAATAACAGTATGTAGGCTGTGAGCGTAACGTATCGAAATTTATGTGTGTGTGATATGCCCCTGAAATGGGGCCCTGCCGGCCACTTATCTACAGTCAGCAATGCCAAAAAAACGCAATTTGAGTCGTCGAACGGTCAATTCTAAGGCCGCGCGAGATAGAAGAGCACAAAGATCAGGAGAAAAAATTAAAGAAGATAATGAAAATGTGCGTGTGAGCATGACGCAGTTACGTGAATCACAATCGAAAAAGGCATGAGATGAACGTAATCAACCAAGACAACTACAACGAAGAGAAGCGCACAGATTCATAGTTAAAAGAAGAATTAACCAAAAACGCCAACAAGTTCATCGAGGATTTACATCAGGGCCATTACTTTGACTAGCATTCCAGTACGAGCCTGATGTTGAATGTTCTGCTTATGCCAAAGTGATTATTGGTACTTTGGAAAAAGAATCCTTGTATTGTCATGCGCTCAAATTTAAAAATGAACCAGTTGGGATGTGTTGCTCATCAGGAAAAGTACAACTACCTGAAATTGAAATAGTTAGTTAAGGTGCGCAGCATACTTCTCGGTACAGATCGAGTTTCTACCCTGTTTCATGAAGTCAATTCGTACATTCAATTCATGCTTCCAAATGACATCGTCTTTACTCATCACATATATGAATCGTGAACTACGGTACGATACTGTATAAATGGCAGGCATTGTTAGTCGCAATATTTCACTACTTAATGACAAACCTGGCAGATGCCAGGATTTTTTTTTTTGATGCACCAGGTGGAATTACGATTAAAAAAAATGGCATCGCTTTGGCCATTACATCTTCTGGCATTGCATCTACTTTAAAAGATGGAGGCAGAGCAGCGCATTCAGCACTTAAGCTGCCATTGAACATTTAAAATAATCCAGATGCAGTGTGCAACATAAGAAAACAATTGTCTATGGGCATAGTGCTGAAACAATGTGAAATAATTATTTTGGATGAATGCACTATGACACGTGAACATTCGCCTGAGGCACTGGATTGGACATTTAGGGATATAAAAAACAATGATAAACTATTTGTCGGCTCTATGTTACTCCTTTCAAGTGATTTCAGACAAACTTCCCGTTATTCCACCTTCAACGTACACTCATTAAATTAATGCTTGCTTAAAATCATCGCGACTGTGGTGTAATGTTGAAAAAGTAAAACTAACGAAGAATATGCGCGTTCAAATGGTTCGGGATCCATCCGCCGAAATTTTCTCTAAACAACTGTTAGATATAGGCGATGGGAAAGTTTCTGTACGTGAAAATACTGAATGTACTGGAAATACAGGAAACAAAACATTAAAAAAAACGTGGAAACATTTATTAAACAAAATAAATGAAAAACAAGAAAGAAAAGCTAACTTCGGGCGGAGCCGAAGTTGATATACCCTTACAGTTAAAACCGGATATATATCGGAAACATCGGATATAGTTGGCCGATCCTTATGAGAATATGATAATATAACCCAATTTATTATAATATAAAATCTAAAAAAGGTCCGAAACATCTTTCTTCAGAAATACCACAGTTGGTATTTCTACCAAAAACCATTTCCGATCGTTCAGTTATATGGCAGCTATAAGATAAGTCGGCCGATCCTTATAAAATTTGGCATGTCGTATTAGTTAGCCAAAAGTAGCTCGTGTAAAATTTGAACTCTCTATCTCTAAAAACACAAAATTTATACAATTTCCGATCAATCAGTTATATGGCAGCTATAGCATATAGTCGGCTGATCCCGGCCGTTACGACTTATATACTGTGTGCAAAGGAAAGAAGGGTGTGTGCAAAGTTTCAAAGCTTCAAAACTAGGAAGTAGTTTGCGTAGAATTAAACAGACGGACAGAATGTCATCAATAAGGAGGTGATCCTGATCAAGAATATACAGTAGCGGACAATGAAATCCGGACACCTAAGTACTTGCACTGTATGTGAACTTTGCATTAGTGTGGTAGGATTGCGTTTTTATATCGAGTTGAAATTTTTTAAAATAGTATTTTATGATTGAAAAAAAATATTTTTTTTTAAATATGTCGAAAATGACTGAAAATGTCCAAGGGGCCATATTGGCCTTACAATCGAAAATCTTAAGCTTCCGAGGAATAAGCTCTAACGTTGGATTTATTAAGGGGAGGGTAAGGTATTAAATTTTTTTTTTTTCATTTTTTTTTATTTTTTAAATTGAATGCATAATATCTGAAGAATATTGTGTCAAAATTAAAGTAAAATTGACGAAGTTATTAGTTATTGACGAAGTTGCTTGCAAACGTTTTACACTGGATTTTGTTTTGTTTATAACTTTAAAGCGTTATTCCCACAACTCACGTTTTCAAAGTCGGTGCCCCTCATAACTTCAAAACTACTGCACCGATCCTTTTGAAATTTTAAACACTATTTCTGTACATATTTTACGAGGTAACGCTGTCGAGTTTTTTTTTTTTGTTCATAATTTCGATTTTGCAATGACAAATTAACCGATTTGTTACCAAAAAATTGAGTTTTTCACTTCAGTCTTCGAAAAAATTAAAAAATTTCAATTTTCAAAAAACCTTCACAGCGTTACCTGGGGCGAACTATTATTTAACGAATGAACTTTCTTTTTTTGATTACAAATGATCCAGCACCGAGTTATGAGGGGCACCGCAATTCAACTTTTTTTGGCGACACGTCCGGACAATTGCTACCATTGCCATATTTTTAAATATTTTTTTGTAAACATTTGATAAAACATTCTTCTAATGTCATACTTTAATAAACCGTTGGTTGAATAAATAAATTTTAACTGTGTCGTCAGGAAAAAAATTACAAAAACATGGCTTTTTTCGCACGATTTGACCTTACCCTCCCCTTAAGTTTTCTTTCGAGGATTTCCTACAAAATTTAGAGAAAACCAGAACCAAGAAAACTACCACTACCACACTACCACACTACCACTACCATGACTGATCGCTTCAAATCTGCAAAACATGTAAGAAGTAGGTTTTACCAGTCGAAAGGAGTCGAAATAAGCATTCGAACCGTTCGAAGGAACATTGAGGAGGTAGGACTTCATGGCCGGCGAACAGCGAAAAACTATCTTGACCGCATAAATGCTCCATAAAACAGAGGGTCAAAATGCACGAATCTTGGACTGTGCATGATTGGCGGAACGTAATTTTTTCTAACAACACCAAAACAATCCATTTCGCCCAAATGCGACAAACGCTTCAAAAATAATTGCTTACGGCGAACGGTCAGGCAAGGAGCATGCCGAATGGTCCGGGGATGCGTTTATTACTATTGCGTTGGTGATCTGGAATTAATTGATGGAACTGTGAATGCCAAAAAGTTCCAAGGTGTTCTGAATCGTCACCGTCCTTCTCAATGGAGGAACATCTTTCTCGTGCCCCAAACATAATCTTTCAAGACGACTCAGATCCTTGAGTATATACTTTTTTTTAATTCTTTAAGGATTTGTTTAAACGATAATTAAAGTATTAAATTTCTAATATTTTTTTTTTATTTTTGGTAATAAATTATTTGCAGAAAAATCGAATATCAACATTGACTGGCCAGGCAGTTTTCCTGATTTCTATCCGATTCAAAATCGTTGGCCTATTTTAAAAGTCAATATACATAAAAAGAAACCCAAAAAAATAAGAGTATTTAATTTGACAGTGGAAAGTGTCTGTTATAAAGACATAATTAAGAAAACTAACGAACACTTGGTAGATTTTATGCCATCAAGAATAAATGCTGTATTACAAACTCAAGGAAGACCAACTAAAAACTAAAGAACCAAAACAAAATTATTTTTAAATACGTTAAATACTAAGCTGTTAAGAAACAATTTTCAAAAAATTTGGTTACCTTGGAATAGTTAAAAAAAAATTTTTTTTTGGCTTGCCTTTAACATCAATTAACATTTTTATTAATTTCATCAATTTAAAACAAATTTACTCCATATAGTAAACGCTGGCTAAAAAAAAAAAAAAAAAGTTGTCTTTTCTGCCTGTCCGTCATTTCTCATTTTACGCTCATTATACCCTTGCAGAGGGTATTTAATTTTGTACAAAAGTGTGCAACGTAGTGAAGGAGACATCCGACCCTATAAAGTATATATATTCTTGATCCGGATCACCTCCTGAGTTGATATGAGCATGTCCGCCTGTCCGTTCGTCTGTCTGTTTCTGCGCGAACTAGTCTCTCAGTTTTAAAGCTATCGACTGAAACTTTGCACACACCCTTCTTACCTTCGCACGCAGTATATAAGTCGGAACGACTGGGATCGGCCAACTATATCCTATATCTGCCATATAACTAAACGATCGGAAATGACCCAACTTTCGTGTTTTTAAAGATAAAAAGCTGGAACCTAGTACAGATTATACTTTTGGTCATTTTATCCGATCTACAAAATTTTATAACGATCGGTCGACTATATCTTTAAGCTGCCATATAACTGAACGATCGGAAATGGTTTTCGGTAGAAATACCAAAATTGGTATTTTTGAAGAAAGAAGCTTGGGACTTTTTTTTTGTATTGTAATAAATTGGGTTATATTATCATATTTTCATAAGGATCGGCCAACTATATCCGATTTTTGCCATATATATCCGGTTTTAACTGCAAGGGCATATCAGCTCCGCCCGAAGTTAGCTCTTCCTTTTTCCTTCCTTTACATCAGCCGTTCAGCTAGTTTCGGGTACTGTCTGTGTAAAAAGCTCGTTTCCCGAATTTCGTCTGGCCAGCTCTTTTTTAAACGAAACATATTCTTCTTACAAGCTTATTGTTAACCACTTTCATATCGCCCAATGAAGTCCAAATGCTCTTAATATGGTCTAGTTCACGATCAGGTTCCCAGCCAATCACTGAAATTCCTGAAGCACTGCCGACAAAAAGGCACTCTCCATCTTCACTACAATAAAGAAATATAATATTTATTCAAATATATTATACACAACATACACAACAACTTTTTTAAAATTGTTCTTTAACTTACCTGAACGTAATGCATTTAATACAATCGCCGAACTGTAAAGTTTGCGAAACAAGCTGCTGATGTTCGAGGTCATAAATGGACACGGTACCGTCCACTCGTCCAGCGGCTAAAAGGAATTCAAATGGATGAAACTGAATGCATGTAATGGCTCTAGCCGGCGGCTCAGCTAAGAATTCCATTATTTGTTTGCTTTTTCGTATGTCCCAGATAATTATGGATCCCTCCAAGCCAGCTGAGGCAATCCATAGTCCATCTGGAGAGAACTTTACTGAATTAACATGCGATATGTGTCCCCTGCACACCTTGATGCAATTATTTTCATTTTGCACGTCCCAGAGTCTGAAAAAAAAATGTACAGAAAGAAAATTAAATACTTTAAAAAAATTATTATAAATTTTAAAACTTTTGAAGAGATCATTTATTAGGGGAGCTACGGAACTCACTAGTTGATACAGTATGATACAAAAATATTGGAAGAACTTTTGAGGAATAATAAGAATTGTTTATTAGTTCGAATATAGTACATAACGTTATCTGAAATATTTCGAACAATCTCAAAATCTTGATTTATTTAGAAAAAAAACCGTTTTTCGGGACTTTTTTGCTCTTCAAAATTCCTAAATGGTTGAAATTTTAGATCGTTTTTCATATAAATGTTGTATTATAGCTTTTGACAAAAAAAATATATCTTCAACTTATTCAAAAAAAAAGGATACAATTTTTATACAAGAAACTGACATTTTTGTCGTTTTTTTCCGACTTTGACGCCATTTTTTTGGTATAACCAAAGATTATAAAGTACATAGATGGGACATCAGGGCCCAAAACGGTCAACTTTTTGCGTCGAGCTTGTTGGTGAGGGGGGAAACGCACATGCATACGATTCTATTTTTAGAACTCATTACATGTATCCGTCAACAAAAATGTTAGCCTTTGCATGTATGTGTGACTGCTCGCACGACGGAGTAAAAATGTTTTGGCTTCCAAATTTCAATTTCAATATCTCGTTTCTGTTTTCGATGCGCCCATGTGGTAGTTGGTAGAACAAATAGTATTTTTAATCGCGGCAGATCGAGACAGGATGGTAGCGTAATGCATAGAGTAGTTACTCTATGTGTAATTTTTCTGTGTTCAAATCCTCGTAAGGACTTCAAACTTTTTCTTTCTTTTGTAATAATTTTTTTTTTTTATTTGTCTTTAATTGTAATATTTTTATTTAATTTTACAAATGTAAAAATTTTTTCATCTTTATTATGTCCCGCTAATAACATGTAATACAATTTCAAGGGAGTCCTTCCGGCATTTTGTCATCCGACACGTCCGTCACTTATTTTTACAATAATTGTAATAGAATGCAATTAAAAATAATAATAATAACGTAAAAATTAAAAATAAAAAAAAAAATAAATAAATCTGTATAAAAAGAACCATAATACTAAAACTTTATCAAAAAAGGAAAAACAGCCCGCTGTTGTAATCGAACCCAGGACCCCATGAATAAGGACCGCGCACTATCCATCTAGGCTACCCTCGAAGTTGATTTTATGATACTTAAAATTGGTGTTAAAGGAGACGCTAGAAACTATACCAAAAACAGAGCTGACGAGTAAGGATAGTAAAAGATATTTCTGATCTATTTACTCTTACATTGGTTCGATTACAACGTTTCAAACTTTCATCGTTCCAAAGATGTTACGATCTAAAAATAGAATTTCTCAAATGTTTTCATTATTACAGCGGGTTCCACGACGGAAAAAATGAAAACATTTGAGAGCGGGTTCCATGACGCGGCCTGCCAAAATGCCGTAGAACCCGCACTTATAGAAATTTTTACAGCGGGTTCCACTACGAACTGAGACGATGTTAAGGTGATTTTACAATTTTGTATTTTTTTTATTGGATTATAAATTTAGGAAAAAACATTAAAAGAATAAAAATATAATATAAATAGATTTAAAATTTAAAAAAAAATGGACTTCCCGAGCCTGGTTTGAACTCGGTTTACTTTGCACACCAGCCAAGCACTCTACCACTAGGCTATTCCTCATTCGTTGTCGCGCGAAAAATTTCTCAAACTTAACTTGTCGCGCAATGGAACCCGCTCGTTCCAGCGGGTTCCACTGCTGGAACCCGCCATAGAAAATTTTTCTTTGTATGAGATGTCCCATCTATGTACTGTATAATCTTTGGTATAACTTACAAGAAATGCTATCATTTTTGAACCAATATTGTCTCATTAATCCAGAATAAAATGAGACCAATTTCATTACGACATTATAAAAATTGTTGAAGATATAACGCTTTTCCCAAAACAAGTCAGTGCAATCATGCTTAAAATCGGTTTATAATTACGCGTTTATAATGTTTTATTATACTATAATGTAATGTAATGTTACATATTACTTAAGGGGACCCTATAGCTGCCATATAACTGATTGATCGGAAATGGTATAACTTTGGTCTTTTTAAAGTTAGAGAGTTCAAATTTGACATGAGAGCTATTTTTGGCAAAACAATACGACGTGCCAAATTTCATAAGGATCGGCCGACTATATCCTATAGCTGCCATATAACTGAAAGATCGGAATTGACCCAACTTTTGTGTTTTTGAAGATAGAAAGCTGGAACTTGGTACAGATTCTATTTTTCATCAGTCAATTCATCCAATCTACCAAATTTCACTAGTATCGGCCGACTATATCCGATGTTTGCGATATATATCCGGTTTTAACTGCAAGGGTATATCAACTTCGGCTCCGCCCGAAGTTAGCTTTCCTTTCTTGTTTTGTTTTTTTTTTTGTTGTTGTTTTTTGTGATCAAAGAAAAGCCCTTCTTTTCGGCGGCGCATGTGATTTTCGCTCACTGGAACATCTGAATCCAAAAATTCCAACAGAATTAGAAAGAGTACATGTTTGGCTCTGGTATCAACTAGGATTATTAACTTCGCTCAGAAATTAACAAAATTGCGGACCTTTGAAATTTATTTTTTTAAATTGAATCTTTAAATCTTTTTTCTTCTTCAAGATCTTCACCGATTTGATTTATCCTAGTTCATACCAGAGCTATGTATATAACGTATATGTATAGAATAACGTGTTAAAATTTGGAACCGATTGGATTAATAGTTTTTGAGTACCCTGATGCACCAGTCGTAAAAACACTGTTTCGAGAAAAACGCGTTCAAAGTTTTGAGACCGCCCTCGCCGTCGCCTGACGCTTTCACCATAAATCAGTTATATCTTCGAGTTTTTGAAATTTTCACTTGAAATTCAGGGAACATTCTTGAATAGTTAATAGTTCGAATAAAATAAAAAAAAAAATCGATTTTTTGAAACCGAGAATGGGGGGGGGTTCGCTTAATGTTATATACTTAATAAAATATATACATACAGTGGCGAGCAAAATTGAGTGCATGTTTACGACTCAGACTTTCGTCACCCATAAAATCATAATAACACAACAAAATCCAAAAATTTTTTTTGTTTTCTATTAATTATTTAATTCTTAATTAATTCTAAACAAAAACAATGATAATATACATGAATTCGAGGAGACTTAAAGTAAAAACGAAAAAAACCCGCATAAACTCAATTTTGCACGTTTCAAAAAGTTTTAATTATTAAAATAATATTAATATTTTGTCCAAAGACCCTTATTTAAGATAACTTCCTGGACGCGATTAGGCATGCTCTCTACCAAATTTTCTATTATTTCTTTGGGAATACGTCTCCATTCAGCTTCAACACGCTCCCAAAGGTTGCCCATGTTTGATGGAGCTGCTTCGTACTGCCCGAGCCGTCTTTTCACGATTGACCAAAGATTTTCAATCGGATTGAGGTCGGGACTTTGTGCTGGCCATTCCATTAAATGAAAAGGTTGCTTTCCAATCCATTCCTTCACAATTTTCGCAGTGTGCTTTGGATCCCCATCTTGTTGAAAAACAATTTCTTTATCGGGATAAGCACATTTTTCAATAAAATTGGGAAGATTGGTCTGCAAGATATGAAGGTAGTCCTCTTTTCGCATAATACCTTCTATTAATTGTAGAGGGCCAACATGCCACCATGTGAAGCATCCCCAAACCATAATACCACCACCACCATGTTTTACAGTTTCTTTTACATGGTGTCTTTGGATTCGATCTCCGGGTCTACGCCAGCAATATTGCTTTCCATCAGACTGAAAGCGGTTAAATTTGGATTCGTCAGACCATACAACACGTTTCCAATCTTCAACACTCCAATTTTTGTGGTCCCTTGCAAATTTTAATCTCGCTTTAACATTTTTATCGGATAATGCAGGTTTGTTTTTTTTCACACTTGCAATATAGCCGATGTCTCGCAGCGCTCTTCTAGCTGTCCATTCGCTAACATTCTTGTTAATAGCTAAAGAAGCACCTTTTGGTGTTAGAAGCTTGTTCCTTCTCATTTCAGACATCATTAGTCGAGCATCTGACTCCTTCAATAATTTCTTGCGACCTGCAACTTGCGGTTTGGGAGTCACATTCCGTCTCTTCTGAACTGCGATTACCGCCGATTGGCTTATACCAAGCCTCTTAGAAATTGCACGTGATGTACAACCATTCTCGGTCAGGCATACTACATTATTTTCAATATCTTCAGATAATTTTCGCATTATTTCGCTGGCAAATTTACCACAAATAATTTATAATTAAAAGCTAATTCAATAACACTTTTCTTAGTCTGAAGCACGTTTTAATCTTTGCTACGAACATCAGAAATAAAACAAAATCAAAAATAACGGTAAATCTTGCCGATTTGTGCTAATAAGAGAAGTAAGAAAGGAAAATAGGTGAAAAAGTGCCACGTGCAAAATTGAGTTTATGTGGGTTTTTTTCGTTTTTAATTTATGTCTCCTCGAATTCATGTATATTATCATTGTTTTTGTTTAGAATTAATTAAGAATTAAATAATTAATAGAAAACAAAAAAAATTTTTGGATTTTGTTGTGTTATTATGATTTTATGGGTGACGAAAGTCTGAGTCGTAAACATGCACTCAATTTTGCTCGCCACTGTATATGTGACAAGCTAACCCGGCAAACGTTGATGACTTATGTATTATAAAGTCATTTGAAGCGCTGTAAACCATGAGGAAATATAAAAATAACAAAAGGCAAACATTATTTTTATGTTATTATTTAATCAAAATTCAGCAAGTCAATCTCTTAGTGCTATAGTGTGAACAATATTTTTTGTGCCGATATCCGATTTGAATATTTTCAACAATTCATTGTTCTCGTTCAATAGAGCATCTAGCTCGCTGACGATACGTCTGGCATAAAATGAATCAAGTTTATTATAATCACAACGTGCATTC